TGACAACGATTATTTTTTATACAAAACACATATATATTTTATATATGTTACATGCCATTTCAATAGCGAAGCAAAATGTTTTGCCAAGTGTTCTAGAATTAATTTATATTTCATATATTCTACATGTTGTGAATGATTTTTCCAAACGTTCATGTAATAAATTTTTACATTCAAATTTTTGTTAGCGCTATTCGACTGGTTAAAGTGGATCTAATTACTTTTAATAAAAAATCAAAAAATTAAATAGAGATTAACTGGATATTAGTTTTTGGATTTTTCATGTTTAATTAATCTATGAATTTTTCTTAAATTTATAGTTTTGATATGATATTTTGTGTTCAAGTTTCATAAAACACATATATAATTGAAGTTGCAACTTTCAAACAAGACATATCATATAACTAACTAATTCTAATTTACATCAAATACAAAATCGATTTTTTTATCACACACAATAGTGAGAAAGATTAAGGTTGAAGATATTTTCGTGTCTCCTAACCATAAATAAAACTAATTGTTTATCAATTTTAATCCATTTTATTATGATGTAAGATATATTCTTCATACATCCTTCTAGATAATGACGCATGTAGCAACTAATTTCGATATAATCTTAATCCGACTAATTTGGGGTTAGATCAATTCGAATAATTTTAGGTCAAATCGATTCCATATCAAATCGATAAGACTATCATCTGGTCTAATTCAATCCGGACGAATCATAGTGTGTTCGAATTCTGATATCAAGTTAAGTCTATGAATTTCCTATTTAAAATCAATTGACAATGAATTGATATAAACGCTTTATATATTAGTTTAAATCTCTTTTAACTTTTCGTATGTGATATATTCTTCGTATTTCATGTATTTATAATCACTTTTACATTAAAAGAATTTTTTTGTCATAAGAAAAACAATATTTTGAAAGGAGAGAAATTTTATTTTTCGGCAACTAATTAGCATGTATAAATAATGCTGTCACTGTATCAATTAATTAGTAGGCATACATATGAATTTAATAGAGTCATGGGTTTGTGTGTGGATTGATGTACATACGCATAAAAGTTTT